AGGCTGGCCTTGAACATACAGTGATCCACCTATGTAGACCAGGCTGGCCTTGAACATACAGTGATCCACCTATGTAGTCTAGGCTGGCTTGAACATACAGAGATCCACCTATGTAGACCAGGCTGGCCTTGAACGTACAGTGATCCACCTGTGTAGACCAGGCTGGCCTTGAACGTACAGAGATCCACCCGCCTCTGTCTCTCAAGAGCTGGGAGTAAAGGTGTGCTCCCCCACCTAGCCTTAGGAAGTGCTCTTAATTGTTGAGCCATCTCTCGACTCCTTTTTACTTTTTTAAGAGACCTTTTCTAGTGCTCACTTCGGCAGCACATATACTAAACTTGGAATGATACAGAGAAGATTAGCATGACCCCTGTGCAAGGATGACACACAAATTCATGAAGCATCCCATTTAAAAAAAAAAGACCTTTTCTAAAAATGGGATTTGATGAAAATGTCAAAAACATAGTAAAGCAGGAATGTTCAAGCTAAAGCAAACACAGGACACACCAGCCCTACCTGTTAACCCCAGTGCCTGGAGCTCCAGGAACACAAAGACATTGAGTTGTAAAGCCACAGCTATCCATAGTCATTTTCAATTACTTTCTTATAATCAAAACTTACCCATATAAAATCTCATTTCTTGAGGGCCATTTCCAGTATTTGCTCTTATTGGGTTGCCAGTTCATCAACTTATTCAGAAGTGTATGATAGTAAAACACAAATTCAGATCCTACCAGAAAGTGTTTATATTTTATTCTTGTCCTCATAGGACAGTACCTCAAAGAAGTGATCCCATTCACATGACCCTGTAGGTATTTCCTGACACCTTCCAGGAGTGCATTTCCTGGGCCCCTTAAATAAGGGCTCCTTCCTATGGGGTTGGAGTTACACTATACTAACAGGTCAGACACTTTTTGAAAAGAAACAGCTCTTCAAATAATACTTCAAAATATTAAATAACTAAAGGGAAGGTGTGTTGGTTTGTTTTGAGTCAGAGTCTCATCATGTAGTCCTGGCTGGCTTGGAATTGCTACTAGACTAGGCAGGCCTCAAAGTCTCAGAGAAGCCCCCTGCCTCTGTCTCCTTGACTGCTGGGATTAGAGGCTTTATCCACCTACCCCATCCTCACTGAGAAAAGACTCCTTTTTTTTACTAAAGAGAAATTTTTCTCCCTGGTCCAATATGAAATAATCATTTAAAACTGTAAGAACACAAATTTAAGACGATAATAAATGTGGCAATTTTATTTGATTTTGATCTTGTATTTCTCTGTAGACATATCTATAATCTATGAATGTTTGTTGCCAAATTTTACGTACACTTTAAGTGTGATTCCCCAATTCCTTTAAATAATTTCTTTGAAAGATGTTAGTTGGGATTACTAGTCCTTGATCAAGCAGTTCTGTCTATGAGCAGTAATTCTCCCAGCATCCACAGGGGGGCAGGAGATACCGTGTCCCACAGATGTCTGTAGCTAGGTGTGTGTCTGATGCTGATTCTGGTCTGAAAGCTATCAGAGCCAAGCTCCCACCAGACTCTCTTCACGGCATGTCAAGAAATTCTCACTGTTTCAAAATGTTCCTCCCAGAAGAAAGTGCCCAAGAAGTGATTAGAGAATCTAAGACTAGGCTGGAAACTTAAAATTCCATAGCAGTATTTCAAAGACTCAGTGTGTAGTGTGGAAACCTAAAAGCAGATCTGGCAATGGTTTAGTTTGCTCCTTACAGTTTTACCATCACAGCACACACACACACACACACACACACACACACACACACACACACACACACACACACACACACACACACGGGAGGGGGGTGGTGGGAGGAGACTGGAGCAATGGCCTCAGTGAAGCCTTGTTAACACGGGGTGGATTTCTTTTTAAAGCATACTTAGAGGACGTTTTAACTATAGGAAACGCTGGCTTAGGAGTCTGAACGGCTTGACTCTTGGTTGTATTTCTGACTTGCTGGTGACCTCCAGTCCTCGGGTTGATTTGTCAGTGTGTTACTCACCTGTAAAATGATCACAATAGCCTTTTTGGCAAAGAGAACTTTCTTCACACAGATCCAAGGCTGGTAACAGTGAGAGGAACATCTGCCCTGAGGTAATCCTGAAGACAGGAGCCCACCCACATTCCTTGTGGTCCCTGACTTGCCTTTCTACATGACCATCTAGTCAGTTGAAGGGCTGTAAGCCATAGGCAATGGGACTGCTGGCTTGCACTGCCTTGTTTCCTGTTTACTGGTAACTCGCAGCAGATAATTGCTGTGGGCAGAGTGAGTGGAGATGGAGGCTGCCTTTTCGAGCAGGAAACATGGCTACTGAACCAGAAGGATCTAAAACCATGACTCGTCATTAACAGACACTGTGGTACCAGAAGTGAAAATCATGACAACATAAAGTACGAATGTTCATTTCGCAGAGGGAAGGGATGCAGACAGACCACAGGAGGATGTCATCCACTCTCCTGGATGTCACTTCATGGTCAGTGTACAGGAGCAAGAGGCAATGTCGGCCAATAGGCAGCACAAGCAGGGAAGCAGCTGGACATAGGGAGAGCAGGGAAGCAGCCGGACACAAGGAAAGGTGAGGACCCAGGGGTGACTTGTGGTTTTCCAAGAGAAATGGTGAGAAGCTGCCGAGGGGAAGAGAGAGGGAGGAGGGAGAGGAGGAGGGAGAGGCAGGTATCTGAAGGGTATGGGTTTGCTATTAATGTTAGGTGCCCAGGGTGTCCTCTCTGGATGGCAGTACTCTGAGAAGAACATGTGCACCGAAAATGAAGGAGCATGAGCAGAGAGGTCATTTTGTCAACGTAGATAAATATCTGCCAAGTATTATTTAAAATTCCCGTTCCTCTCCTTTCACATCCTTAAGCTGGTGAAATGACAATAAATCATCTAAATCCCAGAAAAAAGGACAGAACTAGAGGAAGCACCTTCAAGTCCAAGACAGGTCGTGGCTTGGCATTCAGGAGCTAACTAACCATGGGTGGGCAACCAAGAGGAAAGCAGCCACACTCAGTAGCCTAGCAATTAAGGGTACAGACTCTGAAGCAGTGTGATCTTGGGCCTCACTTTCCCTTCCTGTAAAATGGAGATAATACAGCCCTGGTCTCAGGCTCGTTATGAAGATCAAGTGAAAACTGTTTGCAAACTTCATAGAGCCATGCCTGACACAGAGCTTCCCTGTGGGTATTTTGCTATATCGAGGCGTGGAGGCAGATGCCCAGGGTGAGAGGCATGCCTCTGACCTTAAGGAAGTCAGAGGAAAGAGACAGGAAGAGCAAAACTGCCTCCCCTAGCGTGCTCTCAGGCCTTTAAGGTCCCAAAGAAGAAAAAAAAAAAAAAGGCAAGGGGCAGAGTGGAGAGCCCACAGAGAAACAGTCACCTCAGACCAAACCCGACAGCTTTCCAGCTGGACACCAGGCATCCCAAGGGGTGGTACCAGAGCCACTCCTCCCTGGGTCTATCCTTGGCTGAATGGCCTTGGAAAAGTCACTTCTCTTTGAGTCTTTTTCTTTCTTTCCTTGTTTTTAAATCCACGAAAGTGGGATGATTGCAGGAGGGCGTTTAAGGTTGGTGCTTGAGTACCCACCCCAGCCCATAGAGGCTCTGGACAACTCCCGTCTGGAGTGCAGTCTGGGAGAATTCAACCCTTCACCGCCAAGTGTAGCGGCGTCCAGGCTCCGGGAACCGCGGGGCGGTGGGCGGGGAAGACACTGGGAATCTGGGGACAGATAAAGGAAACCCGTGATGGGGCGAGGCTGGGCTGAAAAGAAACAGATTAGGGTAGAGCTGCGAAGGGAGGGGTCTGGTTGGGGGGAGAGAAAGGGTGGGAAACAGAGAGTTGGGAGGACACCAGAAGAAGAAAAGCAGACCGAGGGGTGGTGGGGGTGTGATGGGGGTGGAGAAGAAACTTGGGGAAGAAGGAAGTCCTGAAGACAATACGAAAGAGGAACGGGGAAGTTTGGGTGCAGAAGAGGGAGGCAAGCCCCCAAGGGGCCAGAGAAACCGGGGATCACACGAAAGAGAAATGAAGCAGCTGGAGCAAGCGCCAGAGGCTGGGGTCTACGAGAGGAGAGGTTGGGGCCTGCAGGGGAGCGTAGCAGCTCTGAGCACCGGTCCAAACTCTGAAGACTGGTGGCCTTTGCCTGACCTCGAAGGTTGGGGATAGACGCTGGTCTTTGTGGAAAGCAGCATCCTACCGAGAGAATGGAGCTGTGTGGGGCTGGCCCCTGCGCTGGCTTCCCCGGCTCAGGGCTGAGCCCTGAAGGAGTGCTAACGGCCCGCTAGGAGGGTGACCGGAGGGGAGGAGAAGGTGCCATCACCGCGAACCACCGCGCAGCTTGCAGCAGAAGCACACGCTCCGAGCCATCTCTGGCCACCGCCTCTGCGGCTCCCCGGGTCCCTGGATTCCCAGGCCTCTGACTCCCAGGAAAGTGCGGGCAGCCAGCCGGCTTGAACGGTCGGCTGCGCAGCGCTGCGGAGGGTGGGCTTCCCCGCCTTTGCTAGCCTGCCCTTGGTGCTGCGTGCGGGCTCTCGCTGCCCAGCCCGGGCGGGCTCTCGCTCCCCAGCCCGGGCGGACTCTCGTTCCCCAGCCCGGGCGGACTCTCGCTCCCCAGCCCGGGCGGACTCTCGCTCCCCAGCCCGGGCGATCTCTCGCTCCCCAGCCCGGGCGGACTCTCGCTCCCCAGCCCGGAGACAGCGGCGCTCGGTTCCCGCTCGCTCCGCCTGCGCTCCCGACTCTGCGGGGCGCTCCCAGCTCTCACCTCGCACGCCTCCCGCGGGGGCGCTGCGCCCCGCCGCTACCCCAGCCCGCCGCCGCCCCCCACTCCACACCTCCTGCCCGCACTACCCGCCGCCCTCCTCACCCCCCCTCCCCGGCCGCTCTCCCTCCCCTCCCCCCCCCCCCCGCCTCGTCGAGGGGCGGGAGGGGGCGTGGCAGGGCCGGGGTTTGTGTAGCTGCTACCCGGCTCCCCGCACTCGGAGTCTGCAGGAGGAACGCGGCCCCCGCCGCTGTCCAGCTGCTCGGTGCCTTTCGCGCCCAGCGCCGCCGCCGCTGTCGCCGCCGTCTCTCCGGGAAACTCAGCCACTCGCTCGCCATGGACACTCCTAGGGTCCTGCTCTCGGCGATCTTCCTCATCAGCTTCCTCTGGGATTTGCCGGGTTTCCAACAGGCTTCCATCTCCTCGTCCTCCTCCACTGAACTGGACTCCACCAAGGACGCGCGGAGCCGCAAAGAAGGGAAGATGCCGCGGACGGCACAGGAGAGTGAGGAGGGCCGGACGCCCCAGGAGCACCAGCCGCGGCAGAGCGAACTCCGGCGGCGGCCGCCTGGACAGTCTCAGGGGCAGGAGCCTCCGGGCAGGGGCCCGCGCGTGGTACCCCACGAGTACATGCTGTCAATCTACAGGACTTACTCCATTGCCGAGAAGCTGGGCATCAATGCCAGCTTTTTCCAGTCTTCCAAGTCAGCTAATACGATCACTAGCTTTGTAGACAGAGGACTGGGTAAGTGGCAAAGAAAGCGCCCGACTCCTCTCCCGCTGGAGCGCCTCAGCCAGAGCGCTGCCCCGGCTCCCGCAGGAGGTTGCTTTTGTGAATTCCCTTCCCATTCTGGACACCTCCTCCTTTTTCTTTTCTCAAGCCCCAAATTCTGAGTGCAGCTGCAGATTTTCTTCAGCCTGTAGTCCTCCCTACTCTCTTACTTTTCTTCCCTCCTTTTTCTTCTTTGTTTTCTCGTCTTTTGCCGAAAGCATCGTGGTGGTCACTGTTCTGGTAGCCGGAGGAGGAAGTGTAGCGAAAGAGAGGAGGCGGTCAAATAAAAGAAGGTGGAGAACGTTAAGAGAAAGGACTGGGGGACCCTGTGGCCAAAGCTTGTGAGGGATGCTGACCCTAGAGCATCTGTGAGGGCGTTAGAAAGCCTGGAGCCTCCTGTCTCTCAAGGAAAAGCCGGCACATGGTGGTCAGTCCGTCAAGGCAGCGAGTCTAGGATCAATGACAGGCAGTGCCTTGATCCCGCAGTCCTGTGGGTTCCTCTGCAGCCCTGCGCAGGGTGTGGGGGACATTCTGGTACCGCCCCCTCCACACACCTGATAGTTCTCAAGCCACAGCCCACAGGATGGGCTCAAACAGGGACCGCTGAAAGTGTGGGGTTCTTAAAGCACTACAGGAGTGTACACATCCACCTCAGACAGACAACGCTCTTCTCTCTGAGCATCTAGGGGACCCAACCCTCATGCTCTGTGCCAGACAGAATGCATGGGTCTGTGGGATTCCGAGCGTGCCCTCTTGCTCTCATCGCTGATGCAGGGCATGACCAAAGTCTTCTGATTAAACCTCAGATACTGGGGAAAGTTCCACCGGCTCCCAGAGAGGAAAAAAAAAATTCAGAAAAAGCAGGAAAGGGGGAGAGAAAAGGGAAGGGACGGTGGACAGAGAGGAGGGTACTGAGAAGGTGAGAGGCGCTAAGAGATTTAGGCAGCCAGTTGCTTCCCATACTCCCAGACTTAGCTTCGGTTGTTCCTCAACTTGCAGGTTCAGGTTCAGTGAAAGTATCCAGAAACCCAAAAGTCCCGGGATTGGGCAGAGGGAACTGCTCAGCTACATCTACCCACCTTTATGGCCCTCACATTCTCGAACCTTTCCAGAGTAGGCTAATGTCCCCCTCGCCCACCTGCCCCAAGCCTTACTCCGTGTCCAGCCACCAGCCTTCCCTCGAAGCTGCTTCCTTCTCAGCCAAGGTTCTGGCCCCGCCAGGTACGCAGCTGCAATCCGAGGTCAGCTGGGTTATGAGCTGCTGAAAGGTCTCGACGGCAAATTAACGCCGCCGTATTTTATGATGATTTTAGGAATAATAAAGTCACCTTTCCAAAAACACGTGGCTTCTTCGTATTGCTGCTACTAGGTCTTGGACCTGGGTACTACCGCGCAGCGCCAGCTCCTTATCACGCTGCAGCGTTGCTGCGCGGTTCTCCCCCTGCAACTTCTCAGTTAACCTCCTAGTGCCTCTAATACCATCGCCAAAGCAGAGGCGATAGAAAGTCAGAGAACAGTGCTAAGGGAGGAAATCCGAGAGGCCTAAACGAGCAGGCGATTTGGTACTCTCTTCTTTTCCCGGGAAGTGACAAATGCCCCTCTCCTACCTCAGGCAGGCACCCTTAATGGTTCACACTACTCCCTGAGAGTTGGCACGGGACCAAGGGGTACTGTAGGCTGTTCCAAGGTATCTATAGATGACTTTGGAATTTCGGCAAGCATGGAAGGCTGTCTCTGGGGCCCCTAGACCTGCATAGACTGGAGCACTCAACAACCCTTGTTTGCCCTGTGACACCCAGACAACCTAGAGTCCATGAACGGTGCTGGGAGCCCCCAGGCTCCTTGAGTACTGGATGGGGTCTGGGGAGTGGAGGAACACTCTTCCCTAGCCACCCACGCTTGTGAGGCCAGCAGGATTGTGGATTTAACCTCAGAATGCGTTGGGCATAGGGCTGCCAGAGGTCCCGAATTCAGAGCACCAAGACCCTGGACCGTAGCTTCAAAGGCTCTATCCCCTCCTCACCCCCTAAGTTCGAAGGAAACTATGAAGACAGCGAGGACTCTTGGAGGGCTATGCTGCTTGTGGCAAGTCGCGCGGGTGTAAAGGAGCTGGGGGGGGGGCAGAGAGGGACTGGAGGGGTACGCGGAGGAGGGGCTGGATTGTTGGCTGCAGCCCCAGCTTGATAAAGGGAAAACCTCACTTTCCCTCTCCCTGATTTTGATTTGATGTGTCACCGGCGGTGACCTCGGGTTGGACCTTCCGGGGCTTGCTTAGCATTGGGCCCCTGATTGGAGTGTTACGACTCAGCGATCTAATTGAGGGTTCATGTCATAACACATCAAACGGTGTCTAGTCTCCCGTGATGGAAGGGACCCACTAACCGCGCATCCCCGGCTTCTGGAGAGGACTTCCGCCCCTCTCGCGCGGGGGTTCTTAACGTGCCAAACTCTTCAGCATCCCCTCCCCCAATCCCTGAGTGGGTAGGCAAAAAAAAAAAAAAAAAAAAAAAAAAAAGGCCAGCCAGGAGAGGAGCCGGTCGTACTAACTTGGCGCCTTGCCTAGGGGAAGTTTAAATCGCCACAGAGTGGTAGGTTGGGATCGGAGGAGCCAGGGTCCCTCTAGGGGAGGAGTCTCGAAGTCGATTCACAAGCTCCAAGAGACTCACACAGAATTCGTTAAAGATCTTGCTCACCTGAGAACTTAAGAGTTATACCTGAAGCTGGTGTTTGAGATTGGAGGGCAGTAACAGACCCCGCGCCAAGTGAGGAAAGAGAGCGGTGCCTCCACAGAAACAGCGTGGCCTTCTACCCTGAGAGCTGCTCCCTGTTCCTGGAGTCCCGAAGGAGGCCTTACTGCAAGCTTTGAAAATGCCCTGGAAGGGTAAATAACAATAGCCAAGATAGACTGACCTTTTATTGTGGGCCAAGGACCGTGCTAAAAGCTATGCCATGAATGAGCTCACTTAATTCTCGCCTACTGCTGCTGCATTGCTTTAGAGGTGAATTAAGGAAGACGGGGAAATTTAGTTGCTCACGTCACACAGCTGGTGAGAGATGAGATTCTAGACACAACACTAAAGCAGGACACTGTACACACAGGGTAAGGACAAGGGGCTTTCTAAGAACTGTGGTGAGATGCAGAAGGAAAAAATAAATGAAAGATTTTGTTTTTTTGGCTTAACGTCTTTCTGTGGCCCTTAAAGATCCAATTAGTAGTTCTTATGGAACTTTGGATGCAAGGATTTGTATACGTATCATGCCTGGCTTCCTCTTGTGTTTGTTTAGTAGAAGTGCTAACTACTTTATGGATGATCTTTTAACATGCTTTCATGTCGTACTTCAAAAATTATTTTAGAGAAGTAGAGAAGAGAAAGTGTGTCTGTGCACTGGTGGGGAGCTGAGAACACAGGATCAGAATGAACCAGGTTAGACATCATGGTATCATAAAGATCAGTAGTTCCGAATCCCTAGACTCCCAGCCCTGGGATATGGGCAAGGCAGACAATTAGAACTTAGGAGGGAAGGTGGAGAAAAGGCAAAAAGGAGAGACAGACAGACAGACAGACACACACACACACACACACACACACACACACACACACACACACACGGGGGGGGGATGGAGGGAAGGAGGGAAAGAGAGAGAGAGAGAGAGAGAGAGAGAGAGAGAGAGAGAGAGAGAGAGATCCTGCCTTGCAATTTACTTGTAAGTGCCAAGGTAGAAGAGAAAAAAGAAAAAAACGCTCAAGGATTCAAAGACGAGGGAAAGGCAGAAATTGAGTCTAAGAATACTTCTGTGGGCCAGGTTTCCCAGAGCCTTTGAATTAAGAACAGTTGCTAGTGTTGTGCTGCTGTTACGAGCCCCTTTACAGAAACAAGACTGCAAAGAACAGATAACACCACAGAGGAGAGGGAAGTATCTTTAGGGGCTGGGTAGCCTTATAGGTGAGTCCAGGCGAGTCTGCTTCGGGTTGCTTACTAGTTTGTCTGGTTATCTTCAGTTCAAAGATTACAAGGAGGCAGCGGTGTGCTAGGCACAGACTTCAGAGAGAGGGGGGCATTGTAGAGCTGCGGAGATTCCTGCTATTGAAGTTTGCCGCCGCCGGTCCCATCCTGTTGATGCAGAGCAGTGGGTTTCTGCGTGCAGTCATCCACACGGCAGCTCTAGCACTTTTGCCTGGACCCTGTTGTCGTTGGCAAACGGAAAATGAAATATAAGCAGGGAAGTATTTTAATGGGGATGGAGGGAATTCGCAACTGTTAATTATTTGGTGACCTTGTATTCGATTTGTTTGAGTCCCTTATAAAAACACTAATTCATACCAGACGGCCAAGTGAGGAAGCTGGGCAGAAGGTTCCAATCTAGGCTTTATTTCCCCGGAAAGAGAGAACAGCCTTGGAAAGGGCTTGCTAAGCGTGCAAGTGTGTGTTTGAGGGGTGCCAGCAGAGGACTGGGCACAGGCTGGCTTTGTGGTTCAGGCTGAAGGATCTTCCATAGCTGGGTTAACCAGAGGCTCTGGGAAAAGTCCCGGGGGGAAGACAAGGAAGTTTTAAGCTCCAAAGTTTGTCTTACTCTTCTGGTTGTAATGATTCAGGTACATTTAAGGCCACAAGCCAACCTATAGGCTTGTAGCTCAACTCTGTTACTGTCTCCATGTGCTTAAAGGCCACCAAAAGGGAAAAGCAAGATGCTAAAAAACCTAGAATCCTGTGGGGCCAGAGTGCAGGTTGCGGGAGGATTCTGGGCCAGAAAGGCTTATCTGAGGACATCAAAGGTCACCCCCTCTGGAGGCTGGAGGCTTCGGGGCTCTTGCCCAGGGTGCAGTGGCTGGTGGGGGAGGGGAAGGGAAACGTGCTCAAACACCTCCTTCATCTCTACACATTAAAAAAAATTTTTTCTGAGCCATGGACCCTATAGGTTTTTGAACTGTCCCTTTCCTAAATGAATCAGAACCCAAAAACCATCCTTTCTG